TTTTATAGAGTAGGCCTTCGTGCCATACTCTATCAAAAGCTTTGCTAACATCGAGGAAAGCTGCAGCTGTGTACATTTTTTCATTATAGCCTTTGGTAATGAATTCCGTTAATCTTAGTACTTGTAATTCACAAGAATGCCTTGATCTAAATCCGAACTGTGCTTCTGGAATCATTCCGATTGCTTCCGATTCTGTTTGAAGTCTTTTTAGGATTATTCTTTCGGCTATTTTGCTTAAACATGAAAGTAGACTTATAGGTCGATAGTTCTGTGGAAAACTTGCATCTTTTCCCGGTTTTCCAATCATAATTACTTCCGCCTCTTTCCACCTGTCTGGAAAGTATCTTAGTCGCAGTATTCCATTTATTATGCTAGCAATGTACACTATGATCTTGTTTGGTACATTTTTGATAGCCCTGTTTGTGATTTTATCAGGACCTGCTGCTTTTTTAGGATTTAATATTTTGATTAGTTCTTTAATCTCGTCCGGACTTGTGTGTTCTAGGCCTATGATGCCTTTTCTTCTTCTTAAGCGTCTAGCGCTTCTTTCTACTTCCTCCGTGAAGTCTAAATCTTCTGCCGGGTGGAAATTTTGCGTATTGTTGGATTCTAATGTTTCTTTCATTACTTCCACTTTTTCTTCATCGGTGAATACTCTGCCGTTTATCCCGTGTAACGGTGGTATAGGTTTTCTATCGTTTCTTAGTATTTTTGATACTTTCCAGAATGCGGATTGGTTTGGATTTAGTTCTTGGATGTATTTGTCCCATTGTTCGCTTCTGTGCTCATTTAGTTTTCTTTTAACTTCCCTGTCTAGTTCGTTAGCAATTCTTTTATCTTCTTGATTTCTTGTTCTTTGCGCTCTTCTTCTTTTTCTGTTTTTTTCTTTAATGAGATCTTTTAGCTCATTTGAGATTTCTTCGAATCTGCCTTTTTGTGTTATTTTGTTTTCTGTTTTAGTACTGACTTCGATGGCATTTAGCATCGTTTGTTCTAGCTTTATGATACTATCCTCCAGTTCTTCTATAGTGTTGATTGTCGGAATTGCTCCGATGTTTTCGCTTATGACTCTTCTGAAGTTTGGCCAGTTTGTCTTCTTTCTTTGCTGGGGCTGTAGTGGATTTATTTCCACTGAGCCTAAGGTCATGACGATTACATTATGCGTGGAATCGCCTTCATTTACTGAATGTATTTCATGTTGTTGACCTATGTTATGCAGAATTGCTATGTCAATATGCGAGGGAAGTTCTCCGTGGAAGCACGTTGGGTCTGTAGGACCCGTTACTATGGTGTTATTTTTGGTTTCGAGATAGGCACAGAGTCGTCTGCCGTTTGCGTTTGTGCGCCGGTCGTACCAGTTGGGCGATCTAGCGTTCAGATCGCCGATAATTACGGTCGGTTCGTCGGAATCTAAAATAAGATCTAAGTCTTCTCTAAATACCGGTTCATTTGGTCTAACGTATGCTGAAACTATTTTCAGCGTCCCGTTAGCCATAACGATTCGAATTATTGTCGCTTCCATGGTGACTAGACCAAGTGGTGTGGGCACTAGATGGTGGTCTATTTGCCCTCTCACCATAATGGCCGTGCCCCCTGAACGCGCTCTATGATCTTCTCTATAGATGACATAGCCAGGAATTTTTGTTTTAATTCTTTCGACTAGTTTGGTCTCTTGTAAGGCCATGACATCTATAGCGAGTCTGTTGGTAAACTCGTCTAGGATGTTAATTTTCGAACGAATACCGCCCGAATTCCACGATCCGATCTTTAGCTCGTCCAACTGTACCGCCATTACTCGAGTCTACACTTACTCATCGCCTCGATAGCATGGGAGAATTTCTCGAACATACCTGAGAAATGATCCGTCATTTCTTTTAGTTTATTGTTCATGATTGTCATGATTTCTTCCGTCGAGGCGTTGGAGCTAGTTACAGGTGCAGCTTTTGGTGGTTCAGCTGCTTTCGTTGCTGCGGCATAACTTACGTTAGGCCGTGTCGTCGGTGCACTTGGTGCATTTTTGTACTTTGGTGCTTGGGTTTGCCTGGTTTTCCTTTTGGGTGCTTTGGTGCATCCCTGTAACTAGCTGTGTGTGCTCCGTCGCAGTTAGCACACTTGGCCGGGGTTTCTCTGTCCTTGGGGCAGTCGGAGGACCGGTGATAGTCTCCGCATTTGACGCAACGGGAGGCGCAATGGCAGGCGCTAGAGCCATGATAGAAGTCCTGGCAGTTATAGCATTGGACTACGTCTCTTTGTTGTTTAATTTCGTCTTCGATTCTTACTCGAAGATAGCAGAGGTTCGTTATTTGGCGTGTTTTCTCGGCTTCCTCTTCAGGAACCGTGATTTTAAATAACGGGATTTGCACCTTTTTCCCGTCTCTCATGCCAGCGACTGTTTCTCCTTTTATTACGTCCACGCCTTTGTTTTCTAAATCGTCTAAGATTGCTCTTAGCTCGATCTTGGTGTGTAATCCTCTGATTACTAACCTTTTATTCTTTGGTGCATCAATAGGGTAGGCTATGAAGTTCACAGCCGGTCGATGCTCTTCCAGTATTTTTACCATTCCTAAGTACCCCTCTCTGCTTTTGGTCTGGATAATCACAGACCGCCCAGACTTCGCGAACTTATTGTCCGATTGAATGGTTTTCTCCGCGGCTTTGCGCAGGATGTTTTGGCTCTCGCCCACTGATTTTAGGATTATCGCTGGTGGCTTTGCTTCTTTTGGAGTTTTATCAGCGGGTACCACTGGATTTTCGTTGTGTTGTTCTTCCTTCTGGGCTCTTTTGGATTGGCGTGATCTAATCACGTCATCCATTATCTTTTCTTGTCTCTTTTCAACGATTTCTCGTTGTTTTTGAGCTACGCTCACAGTTTCTGTGGGCGTGGCTTCTTCGACGCTTTTAGCAGTGGTTTTCTTTTTAGTTTTCCTCTCTACTTTCTGCCAGGATTCTTCATGCTCTTTGCTTGGTTCAGCAATTGTAGCCGGTTTTTCAACCGTCACCAATTGCTCAACCCTCTTACCAGGTGTTGTTGCCTTGTTGGCCTGCCATTCTGTGGGCTCCTCGCGCAAGCGTTTAGTTGGGACTGCCTTGTCCTCCGACTTTTTTCCTTGTTGGTTCTCAGTTAATTGCACTATTCGTGCAATTAACTTCTTATTTTCCTCTCGCAACTCTTTGAGTTGCTCCATTAATGCCTCGACTTGTCTGTCGTGCAATTTTTGCATGTCATCCATTTTCTGGATGAGGATATGCATCATGGTATTCTCTTCCTCTTCCCGGTGTTTCTTCTTATTCTCGGTCTCAGAGCTTAGCTCTGGACTGGAGCATGGTCTTTTCTTTCTCCCATCATCGACGCGACGAGAAGCGTAGACGTTGTTCACGTCGAACATTGATCTTTTCGCGTTAAAGTCCGCGAGTGCGTTATCTTCTATTACATCATTCGATACTACTGACTGAATGTCAGAAGCATCGTTACTATATTCGTTGTCAGACAACGGGGGGCATTCAAAATGGGTATCCATCTCCGAGATGGTTGGGGACGCAGGGATAGAATGCGGTGCTGTATCAAGAGATACAAACTCCGATTCAGGGTTAGGGTTTGGGGGATGAACTACGACATGAGCTGAATGCTCAGTGGCCTCAAAGGAGACCGACGACATTACAAATCTCTCTATCTTGATGAGCGCTGTTTTTTGTTTTTCCACTTGACTCGTGTCAAGTGGATTCTGGGTGCCTTCCCAGGACCTGGCGACGCGGTTGTTCACTCCTGTTTCCAGGAGGGTGCCTCTTGCTGTTCTCGCTCTGTAAGCGCAGGGGCCGTTGCTGCCCGACCTAGATTCACAACTAAGCCTTGCAGTGTCTACCCTGTCGACACCATACAGAGATCCCGAAATTTCGTATTTGCAATCTAATTATAGCCCTCCGAGAGAGGCCTATAAAATCAACCTCTCTGCGGTTCAAGCAGATAATTAAAGTCGCATATACTCTTCCCTTTGATTTGCGTCAAGCGCCCGAGCCACTGCGGTGTCTTACCCACCGCTGGAGCTGATAAGCTCCGTTAAACTCAGGTCAGTTGCCACTCCTCAAAGAACACGTCCTCGCTGCTCGGCTACTCGAACCGAACTGATAATACCTAAGAAACATCGTCCAAAAACATGCGGTGATTATCGGACAATAAGTCTGATGAGTCACGTTTTGAAGATCTTCCTGCAAGTAATTACACAGCAGAATTTACACGCTGTTAGAGGACAGAATTAGCAATACTCAATTAGGGTTTAGGAGTGGCTTGGGTACAAGAGAAGATCTACGGATAATTACAAATCTATACTGGCATCAAGTGGCAAGAATAAAGGTTGAACAAGAACTGTCGGATGAAATAAATATAAAAAGAGTAGCGAGACAAGGCTGTATATTGTCGCCTTTACTTTTTAACTTTTATTCGAAAGGAAATATTTAAGGAAGCCTTAATGGGGACAACCAAAGGTATTATTGTGAATGGGAGTAACCGTCAACAATATTAGATATGACAACGATACCTTAGTCCTTGCTAATTGCTGAGAAGATCTTCAAAATCTAATGAACAAAATAAAACAGACTTGTGATTAGTATGGATTAAAACTCAACGTTAAGAAAAACTAAATATATGATAGTTGGCAAACAAACTAATATACAGGATGAAGGTATAAAAGTCGGAGATGCCACACTGGATAGAGTAGAGACACTTGCTACATATTTCCTGTCCTGCTGTATGAAGTGGAAGCGTGGACTCTAACTGAGGCTATCCTTAAACGCTTGACAGCCTTTTCTTCTTTGTCAATAAGAACCTTTCTTCTTTATCAATAAGTTCTTCCGCAACAATGTCTCGGCTCTTTCAAAAACCCTATCGGCTAGTAAAAAAGAATGGCCCATGACAGGGAAATTATTAGTAATATGTATCAAGGTGCCTTCGTAAGCTGCTAAAAAGTACAATAAAGTATGAAGCATATGATTCTTTTTGTTCTGACCTGCACATCCATCACAATACAATCTCAGGTGGGTCACATCTGTAAGGTCATCTGATTCACGATAACTAGAAAGAGCAGAAGCTACTTCGGTTGAACCGCGCCCTGCTTGTTCTTCGGTCCATATATAAAAGTATGGGGTGTTGTCATTTTTAATATCTGTTACACACACTTTGTAAATACTTAATTGTCTGGCATAGAAAGCTCGTTGAATAGGCGTTCGAGGAAGTGGTTGTATCTGCTGCATGTCAAAGAATAAAGCTTTCTCTTTTTCTTTGGTTTCTTTCATTAATTCAGAGAAACACTTTGCCATTTTCTTGTGTATTCTCTTTTTAGTAAAAGCTTTTGAGTTCCTGTAGCATTTTTAATTTTATAGTCCATCATGGCACAGTACTCACAAACATCAGATGCAGGAGATTTGAAACCAACATTGAACTCTCTGCAGAATATTTTACGAAACATTGATAACTTTACTTGGAGTTGGGGATTTTCTGCACTAGCATTCTATCACCTCCTCTGTTGTCTTCTAGTCCTTGGTTAGTTTTTAGTTTTGATGCAAGTCGTAAGACTCTTTCTAATGTAAACTATGTAAGGTGAAAAAAAAAAGATTTCAAGACTTCGGAAGTAAATTTTGGTTTGGATTTTGCTTGTTGCAAATCGAGGCCTAAGCAAGATTGTAGGAACCTCTGACGTTGAACGTTTTTTGTTATTATGAACCTCCCAACTAATTGGTCCTGAAAAATTTTTCGGGTTTCGAATAAAGTGTCTTCCGAAATTCACCGGCATCACTAGGCCAAACTTCACAACATTTAAAAGCTTTACCTTTATGTAAGCAACCTATGAACACACAACCACCAGCAGGAGCAGCGTATCTCTTTTCCTTAAGAAGTTGACGATTTGTAACTGTCTTTTGACTTTTTCGTGATTCAGAACTTAGTGTTCCAACTAATACTAATTTACTATCTTCATTTAAACTCATAATTTCACTCAATTAAGCACTAATCAACATTAAATTATAATTTTTCTCTTAAACTAACCTGTTAAGATTGTTTGTGTAGTATCAACAATAACAATCAAATCAAAACCATATATTTAAGTCACGTGATTGGAATACTTACTCCCCTATAGTTAAATAGAAAATGTGGGGTTTTCTTACAATATTGTTTAACTTTTATTCCCTCTTAGTATTACGTAATCACTATAAATTTAATTTATAATAATAAAATAATATAATTAAATAAAACCAAATTTTAAATCAAAAACTTCCACCGTCAGAGAAAAAATCCAGCACATAAAGGCAATATATCAACAAAAATAGCCAAATACATAAAAATAAAAAGAATAACACCCGCTTTCAGAACATAAGCACACACTTGAGCTATATTTATTAGAATCTATGACAATGAATAATTTAAAAATACAGATTTGATTTTAAATTATCAAAACTCCCGACTGTCCCCCTTAACTTATTTAGTTAAAGACTTATAAAGTGTAGACAAACCATGAAAATACATTACTTGAGAAAGGCAGGTGCCATAATCTGTTAGTAATGATCATAAATTATAATAAATTTTGTACAAGTATTAAAAACAAAAGTTTTCAGTGTTTTAATGTTAGCAACAATAATTCATCGATCTTCTAACCACTCTTAATGTGTCAAATATCTTGCCATAAATGTAGATTTGAGCCAATCTGAGCAAATCAACACGGTTATTTTAACTTTTACTTAACTGTGACTTTGACATAAATTTCGTATTTTTTTCTTAATATCTTTTTTTGTCAGAAATATTTGTATGCATATTTTATTATTATTCTGAGTTAGATAACTTCCATAGATTTTTATTATATATTTTTATTAAATTAAATCAAAATTATGAATAGTTGTTTGCCATTTGTTTCATTTCTTATAGACGTAATAATCTCAAAATAACTTTCCATTTATTCAATAACATTTTTTCACGTAGCAATGAAGATACAAAAATGCAGATGATATGGTGCTTGCTGCTTTTCCGCGATTACACATTTGGATGTTGGTTGCAACACGATATTACAGATCATAAGAGCTCACATCCTTTCTAATAGGTGTCGTATATTTTATTGGATGCAGTAGGGGCAATGTGAAACAATGTATAGTTAAAATTAAAAAAAATGGCCTTAATTGGAATTTATTTTACTTAATACTGTGAGTTGAAAGTTTCAAGAATTTGGATACAAATACATAGAAACTCTTAAATTATGTTAATGTAGCATAAAGACATAATGATTATTGATTCTAATAAGAATTTAAAAAAATATAGAATTTTAAAAGTTCTACGAAACGTACAAACAAGTTGTTATTAGCTTATTTCAATTTTTTTAAAATTTGCAGTTGGCATACTTGATCTTGATCCTGTAGACAACAGCATACTAGTGGTTGAAAAACATCTAGAGTGATGTTCTTACCCTAGAAATTTAAAAATCTGACTGTTTGGTGTGCTATACGGTCTATTATAGAGGTAAAACTCACTAACTACAAAATAAATTACAACACAGATATTTAACATTTTGTTCGTCTTTTTGCTTTAAAATTTTATTTATATTTTAGTACGAGCACAAGTTTAATCAAAGAGCGAAAGTACTTGGGCAAGATTTGACTAAACTTGTGCTCAATATTTGCCTTAATTTTCAAAGTTGAATTAATAAGAACTTTACCTCAAACTATCATATTCCTGATTGGTACTTAGGGATAAAGTATCTAAATAGCAAGTGAAGAAAAATGTTTTCTTTTCATTTCGTTACTGCCACAGATTCTTCGAAGCTTGCAAGTATTGAGTATAATAAGTTAGTGTGAATAGTGAAAATTATCGCTATATGAAGCTATACAATCTTTACATTTAAAAACAATAAATTGTAATTGTAAAGATCTGACAAAGCTGAGCTGGGTATAAATCACTGAGGATATCTTGATTAAATTGAAGTACGATATATAGTAGTGGAGAATTTTTCTTCGGACAATATTTATTTGTAGAAACTTGTTTATTAAATACTATTATATTTAAATATAGGTTACTGTTGGTTTTGGATATTTTGTGAAGAAACAGCATACATACACGATAGGCACATCCATTATCCAATATCGACCTGAGATAGGGACTGTCTGATAGACCTGTTGATATAATAGTAAGGCGGTTTTAACGTTAGCTCTCCACCAAGTCCTATTAACCATCTAAAAAAATTAAATTCTTTTATGCATTGGTCTATCATTTAATTAGTATGCAGTTTTTATGTCAATTGTTAAGGTTAATTAATCCATGTAATTCAGAAAGGTAATTGTTTGCGCCAAAATTATTGTTTATGGCTAAGAGCTAATTTATAGTTATTCACCATTCTAGTCTAACTTTGATAATCCATTCCAAAGTCTTTAAAACACACGCCATCAAAAAGGATTTTAAAGGATTAATATGACAATAACAGTTCCTAATACATCAATTTCTGCTTCTTTGAAAAGAATATCATTAAAATTATCAAATATTACGTTTTTTGCTATATTTCGAAGTTTTTTAGCCATAGGATATTTAATATCATCGTAGCCCGGAGCAGAGCTATTAGTTAGCGCAAAGTCAGGTCCTTCTTGTGTAAATGGATTTAGAAGAAAGTTACTTGAAGTAATAGGATTATTTTTTATCGCAGTATTAACTGATAAGGGTGCTATTTTGTCAAAAAATTTTTCAATCAATACATCATTAAGGTGATAAATACTTGGAGTATACTTATATTGCATTTTTCTTGCTTTATTCCAAACATTTTTATGTTTGGAGACACAATCGCTAATTATTAACCAAGTCGACTCGGATTCCCAAGTTGATCCTGTTTATTTTAAATTTGAATACTTTTCTAATCGTAATTGTATAAGGTAAGTAATAGTAGTTGTAATCGTACGGTATTAAGTGAGAAAGGCGCAAAATGTCGCCTGTCAAAATGTTCAATGTGTTTTAAATGCATCCATTTTTTTTTTCAAATCCTGAGAAAACTAAAAAGCATTTTTGAAAAATTTGCATAAGGCATAATGAAATATCTATTAGAATAAATAAAAAGTTTCTTTTGCATCTAATATTTTCAATTAAAAATTATACTATATTTTCTCTTTTATTTTCACCCCTGTTACATAACATATTAAAATAAACATTGTAGAAGTTTTCAGGAAATTTCTGCCCTCAGTAATAATGTAGTATTTCATTCTACGTTTAAATTTTTCAAAAATATTTATTATTTTTCTCCGGATTCGAAAATAATTATATCCTTTCCCTTAATTAAATAAATGTATCTTTTACAAATGGCAAGAAACTTTTTATTTTTGAATAAAATAAAGAAGTTTCATTAAAAAAAAATACAATTTACATAAGTACGCTTTAAAAATAGACTTCATTCTTATCAACGGTAGATTCAGCACAACTGTCAAAAGAGCTTGCACATACCCTTGAGCAGATGTCCCTTCTGACCACGTACTATTAGTGGCCGTCATAAAGATCGCTCTTTCATGCAAGAACAAGCCTGAAACTCAACAACAGATAGCACTGGATAAACTGAAAGACCCAATGATACAAGCAGAAATAAGCAATAAAATAAACGCACAAATTTAAATATTGATGACAAACATTACCGAAGATCTAATACCAACATGGAATGAAGTCCTCTCAGAAATACTCAAATTACTAGATGAAAGGGGATTTTCAGCACTACACAAAATATTTAATTTAATTTATGAAACTGGCTGCTATCCTCAACGTGGTTACGCTCTACCTTTATTCCCCTACCCAAGAAAGTCAATGCAAAATGATGTGAGGATCACAGACTCATTAGCCTGATGAGTCACATTTTAAAAATATTCTTAAAAATACTACATCAAAGATTATACAAAAAATGTGAATGGGACATCAACGATTCCCAGTTCGGGTTTAGGAAGGTTTAGGAACACGAGAAGCAATAGTAGCAACACAGGTGCTGGTCCAAAATTGTTACGATCAGAGGAAGGATGTGTTCCTATGCTTTTTAGATTACCAAAAAGCGTTTGATCGTGTCCAATACCACAAGTTAATGCAGATTCTCAAGAACGTTGATATAGACCAAAAAGACATAAGATGCATTGAAAACTTGTACTGGCTTCAAACGGCACAGTTAAGAAATAGACAATTCTATATCCAAACCCATACATATAAGAAGAGGCGTTTGACAGGGATGTGTGCTTTCCCCTCTTTTATTTAACATTTAGTCGGAAGCCAAATTTCAAGAGTCTTTGGAGGATGCAGAGATGGGAATCAAGGTGAATGGAGTATT